AGGACGTGCGAGGACGCAGTGATAAGACGGTCGCTCGGATGGATCCCATCTCACCCTTATTTATATATAAAAAGTTGAAGTTGAAGCAAATGAAACTACTGGTACATTAAAAAAATCATGACATGCTTGTATGTGTGCGTGTTTGCTGCAGTGGAAATTTGGATATGTTTGCAGGGTAAATCTGTGGCCACCGTGTAACTACTAACAATGCAAATTACAAAATAAATAAACTTATCTTCCCTGGAGAGCTACAGTATAGAGGTAGATAACTTTTACCAGCAGTGATGTGAAAAAGATTTCTCCAAATAGCATGCCAAACTTTGTCTGTTGAGTAGAAACTTTGCAACCGAGGCATCAGCGGGAAGCCCGACCTGCAGTGTACAGTACGCCATCGCGTGAAAGAATCTCCCCAAAAACACTCTGGTCTTGTTTCTCTCTTCTGAGGCCTTTCTTTTCTTCTCATGCACTCCATAGAAACTTTTTCTTTTATCACTCTTGACCATTTTCAAAGAGCCGCGGTGAGAAAGGTGAGCTTCAATGACTATCTGATACCGTAGCTCAGCACATTAAAGTGTGCATGCTCAGAAAAAGATACCTGACTGAGGATGAGCCCGTAGGACGGCCTAACGCAACCATATCATCAGAATGATTGACAATTAGGAGGACCACTTATTTTGATGAACCACCAGGAAAAGAACATCCTCCACTTTACCTTTAACTGAAAAAAAGATAAAGTAGTTAGCAGATATGATTAACAGGGCTACTGTTTAGCACATGCTGCTACTCTCCATAGATCGATTAGGCAGAAAGTTGGTTTTTGTTCTAAAAATAAATAGTTCTATATATTGAAAGTGGATTTTTCTGATATGCTGCTTTAACTGAAGTGTTCTGTGTTCTGTTGACTTAAAAGATGGCTTGTTTTGAGCTGATAAACATTCTGGAAGAATAATTAGGCTGAAACAACAATAAAATGATGAAAGCATCTGTTTTTTCTTTGTTTTGTTTTTCTTTTAACCAAAACTGCTTTAAACAGACCTGATTCTTGACTTTTTATGTTATATGAAATATACTGTTTATGGTGTTTACTTGTATTTAAAGATAAAAAAAAAAAAAACATTTTCCCTGTTTCTCCTTTATTCGGCTATTTTATTTTCGTAGAAAAAAAATTTACAAACAGAACCATAGATTTACATGGCTTTCAACATTAAAGTGCAAAAATCAGAATACAGCTTACACTATAACGGTGTGATCGAGTAATAATAAGAACTGAGAGAACGATTTACTGTCAAATCCAAACATTTTACAAACAAGTTATCTGGAAGAACTTAGTTGGTTTTAACACAATAATCAACAAATCGCAAATACAATCCTGAACCAAGAATATAGAAAATAACAAATTAGATATAAAAAAAAACAAGTACAGTAAGATATGTTTTGGTGGTAGAGCTTCTTTAAGACTTTAGGTAAACTTCTTGATGAAGCGCAGCTTGAGGTATGCGATGGTGAGGAAGCAGATGGTCATGACAGCCAGAGCCAGGTGGTTCTGCCACAGACCCCAGGTGGAGTAATTCACCCCCTGCTCCTTCAGAAATTCCTCCCCAGTCCTGCGCCAGACACAACGCAGACAAAAAAATCAGTTCCTCTGCAAAAACTAGACATAAAACGAACAGAACGGTAGGAAGAAATTCAAACAAAAGCCTGTGTAAATAAGTGTTTGTTTGCGTAAGTTAACATTTAACTGGAAAAGGTGGATTTTTCTTTGAGTGACGCAAATAAAAAGAGCAGCAGGGCATCATGCCTTCTTCTTACCTACTAACTAAACAAGAAATTAATCATCAAACTCATGTCGATGCATTTGAACTAAAAGGAGTTCAAATTATTTAATCATTTCACTGGAAAAATGATCTAGAAATAAGTAAAAATTTCTTAAATTAGGTCTATTTATCCTTCATTTGAGAAGGTAAATGAGGTAGTTTGCCAATGGAATTAGTATTTTTACTCTTAAAATAAGACAATGCAATTGTGTTTTCTTGTTTTAAGGGTGTCTTCTTCCATTGGCAAAATGTCTCTTTTACGTCCTTAATTCAAGAACAAATGCACTTATTTTAAGAAAAAATTACATATCTAGATTTCAATATTTTCCAGTGTTTCTGGAGGAGAAAAAGTAAAAAAAAAAGGTCAACAGATTTAACAAACTTAAGATGTGAAAAAGAAATGAAACAGTTACTAAGCATTACTGTATATTTATATTTTGCCGGTATTAGGATGGCATTAAATACAATGAAGCTCACATCTTCACCTAAAGTTACCATGACAACCATCAGGATTCATCTACAATTTTTTTTTGTAGGAAAAGGTCTTTTCTCCTTTACTGCCACAGCAGTGAAAATAAAAGCTTTGCTAACAAGTTCTGCAACTTTGTATGTAAAATGACAAAATAAATCTAAGTCTAACTTTACCTGGAACTGTGCTTTGGTCAGATTAGACTAGAGTTCATCTTTTGAGTACTTAAAACCTCCTTGATGAGTCCATCGTTAAAGGATGTAAATGTAAAAATGCATCCCATGCCCATTGTTAGGTATGGTGGAGGATCCATGGTGCTATGGGCATGTTACCCTTCTGAAGGCCCTAATAATCTAACATAGGTAATAACTTGGTAATAATAATTGGTAAATAACTCTGGTAACTTTGAAACAGCAGGGCACTTCATCATAACATTTTTTGTCTTTTTCTGCCAGAAATGTCCTCAAACCTTCAAGTTTAGCTGGATAATCACCAAAAATTATGATCAAACTTTAAATCCACCCTTTTGAAGGTAAATCTTCGCTCCCCTAAAATAACTATCTGCTGCCTCAAGAATTAGTAACTGATAATAAGAGAAACTAAATTATTATTAATATGGCGGCAGAGATTTTGAATTCACTGCAGCTGTTCTTCTAGATTTGATCCCCTGAAAGTAATGTTTGTGTTTTGCTTACATGGAACTGTTAAATGGCGCAGAGAAGTTCAGTCCGGGGAACTCATTGGCCTGCAGAGCCTAAAAAAGCAAAGAAAAAGGAATAAAGATGACTACAAAAAAACACTACAGACACTTTAAAAAAATGTTAATTGCACATAAATATTTTTGTGCGAATTTGCTGATTAGGTTTGTGTACATACACTTAATCCATATCTGGGTATGCTGAAGTACTTCAACCAGGAGAGCCAGCTAACGATGGAGGGAAGATTCACCAGCAGACCTGCAAAGATCTGCACATAAAAAACAACAGGTTCATTATCAACCTTGTGAAGTAACACTGTGTTTTTGGTCTTATGGTACTTTACCATTAAAAACATCTCAATACAAAATAGATAAAACACTAAAACTGAGCAAACGCTATGGCTCTAGTAAATGTAAAGTAATGAAAGTCTTCTGTGTTTTAAAACTTGCGCAACTGTGTCAATAAAGAACTTTTAAGTAGCTAATTTAGCCCAACATCAAGTTAAAAAGTGCATCACTGGACAGGTGAAAACTAAATGGATGGAAAGAAGGAAAATATCTAGAAATAAACAGTCAACATAATTGATCTGACCCTTTGCTCCACATGATCAATACGTCAGCTTTGTTTGTATCCTCAGTTCTACACCCTACTATAAAAATAATAGATTTGTTTTGTTCATTTGAAAGGTTTCTGTTAGGTTTTCATTACATCCCTGTAAACCAG